CGTGTCCGACCCATTGTGACCCCATGCTCCTCCAGGCCTTCCTGTCCTCTACCATCCTCTGGAGTCCATTGAAGCTCACTCTGACTGCTTCAGTGACTCCATCCAGCCACCTCCTTTTCTGCCGTCCCCTTCTTTTTCCCTCCATCGTTCCCAGCATGAGGCTCTTCTCCAGGGAGTCCTTCCTTCTCATTAGGTGGCCAAAGTACTTGAGTTTCCTCTTCAGGGTCTGGCCTTCTAAAGAGCAATAAAGGTTGGTCTCCTTTACTGACAGGTTGGATTGCCTTGCAGTCCAAGGGACTTGCTAGCCTAGCAGGTGGTAAATGCCATCTATAAAACATTTTATATACATTTTCTTTCTAAGAGGTTGCCATCATTGATTTGTAATTCACAGCAGCTCCTCTTGCTGAGGTGAAAAGACAATGTGATAGGTCTCAGCTTTGCATCCATATGTATTTCTGATTAAATTATTACTATTTGGCTCCTAACAAACTAAATGTTTAATTCTGTTTTTTCCCCTTTTTTTCCTATAATAGTGGCCATGGGACGTGTTGCCTTGGACAATATCCAGAAATTTTCATCTTTATCAGCTTATCTACCTGTAAAGTATCAGATATCTGGCACGGAGTCCTCATTTTTCCTTAGAGAAGCCAACCATGAATTCATGAAAAACTCAAGTTTGCAATCTCGTGTGGAAACCTTCTTTACGTACAAAAGTAAGAAGAGGCCCATCGTCAGTGTTAGCTATGGACCCTTCTTGGTGGAACATGATGTCCCTCAGGATCTGCTGTGGACGTCCAGCACTTTTGGGCCCACCAACAAGTTTACATTCAACTGGAAGCTAAAAACCTACATCATGAGTGAAAAAATCTACTTGACAAAGCCCAAAGTCCAGATACTTTTCTACATTGTGGGGAGAGATTGGGATGATTACAGTATGTCTGAACAGCTTCCTTGCATGCACGTTTTTGCCTTCTGGGAAACTTTGGGAGTCCGGGGTAGCTGCCGACTGAAAGGAGACCTGGGATTATGCGTGGCTAGTCTAGAGCTTCAGCCAACCTGGTTTAACCCACCCACAGTTGTCACTGGTCGTAAGAAAATGGCTGATCGGTCTGATGGGATCTCGGTAGAGCTTTATTACGCGATCCACCCTGGAAGTGAAAATGGGGAGTGTAGCACTGAAGACCTACGGAAGGGTAATGCAATCCGTCCAGGAAAAGAAGGGGCAGGGGAAAGGATGTCCCACTTACAACGCGTTGGGTCGATCAGTCTCCACCAGGCACCGGAGAGTTCTCAGCTGACTGAGTTGTGGTTGGACAGCAACATAGTCATCCAGCTGCCGTTGAAGCCCGTCAAACAGGGAGAAGTTGTGACCGCTTCTGTGACAGTTACCAACAATATCACGGTGGATCAATTTATTCTCAGGTACGTAATGCTTTCTTGATCCGTTGATTTCTGTTCTCTCATTGTCTCATCCCCTCTTTTGTATGGGATCATCATTTTCTTCTTCCTCCTCCTCTTCTTCTCCCCCTCCTCCTCCTTCTTCTCCTTCTTCTTTTCCTTCTCCTCTTCCTCCTCCTCCTCCTTTTCCTCCTGATTATCCTTTCCTTCTAGTGCTACTAAATCTCTTTGAAAGTTTCTAGACGTTTGGGAGTTTAAAAGAGTTTCTTCTTTTAAAACTCTGTTTCTCTTGACACAAAATTGCTTGGTAGTCAGGGTTCTAAACTCTATAACAGGGGTGTCAAACTCGATTTCATTGCGGGCTGCAACAGGGTTGTGTTTGACCTCGGGGAGCCGGAGAGGTTGTGGCCAGGTGGGCGTGGCCAACTTGATGTCCCTCATGTCGGGGGCACCTGTGGTGGCCCCAGCACTTTCTGCCAGCGAAAATGAGCTCCTTTTTCAGCTGTGACGGCCTCCTGCAACCCTCTGCCAGCAAAAACAGAGCATGCATGAGGCTCTCCCAAGCTCCGTTTTTGCTGGCAGAGGCACTGTAGGCCGATCCTTCTCTGTTTCCATGGTGGATCTGACCCCCCGGGGCCTTGAGTTTGACACCCCTGCTCTGTAACATGGAGGACACTGGGTTGGGAAGGCTTAACTTTGAGACTCGCAGGTTTGAATCTGCAAAGATCTTGACAGGGTTCAAGCATCGTTGGGCAAGTTGACACAATAAGAGTTTCCAACTACTTCTTTTCCAGTGTGCATCCAACTTTCCTTTGGAAATGCAGTGAAACGGCCGGCATCTCTCTTTTTATTTATAGCTAATGCTAAAGCTACATTATGGGATATTTGCTTTACATTTCTCCTTTTCAAACATGATTCATATCATGGCCATATGGTCATTTATTACACAGAAATCTCCTATATCTGGGTCGTGATTACCCGAGCTGGGAAAAATGGATGGAAATCTTCTTACATTGCGCAAAGTCATCATTATTCAAAATTTGCTATTCAGCATAAAAGAAAAGCATTGTGAAACACTGAAGCTTAGCTAGAATTGTTGGATGTAATTGCCAAAATACCACTTTGGACTTGAAGGAACGCAGCCACTGGTTCAGTGGCTAAGCTTGTTGATCAGAAGGTCAGCAGTTTGGCAGTTCAAATCCCTAGCGCCACGTAAGAGAGTGAGAATGTATATTTGTGGATGTGTGTATGAGAAATAAAAATAAAAACTTTTTTTAAAGAGAATTCTCTCAGCGCTTCGGGCTAGTCTATGCATAGTATTTGTGTGGTGCCAGGTTGTGTGTGGCTTTTTAGTTGTTGATTGGAGTGTTGATGGCTGGCTAAAGCCATTGGCTGTCATTTCCTTGTGTTACCAAGTCCAAGTCCTGAGTATTGGATAAGCTAGTGGTAAATCAGCATTCCTGTTGACTGACCAAGGGCTCATTTCCCAGGCTTCAATCATTTTCCTGGCTATTTTTGCACATGCTCGGCCAACAATCTTAGTAGCTGCAAAATTGAATATCTGTCCTTGGATCATTGCAATGAGTTAGGTCTCGTTGTCTGACCACTCACGTGTTCTTGCAATCTGGTTGTTAGCTTCCTTTCCTGTCTAAATCGTCACAGAGGCAATCCATCCAGGCGATCTGGTTGCTTACATTAGAACTACCTCAGGGGTGAAATTCAGCAGGTTCTGACAGGTTCTGGAGAACCGGTAGTGGAAATTTTGAGTAGTTCGGAGAACCGGCAAATACCACCTCTGGCTGGCCCCCGAGTGGGGAGGGAATGAAGATTTTGCAGTATCCTTCTCCTGGAGTGGGGAGGGAATGGAGATTTTGCAGTATCCTTTCCCCAGGAGTGGGGAGGGAATGGAGATTTTACAGTATCCTTTCCTTGGAGTGAGGAGGGAATGGAGATTTTGCAGTATCCTCTCCTGGAGTGGGGAGGGAATGGAGATTTTGCAGTATCCTTTCTCCTGGAGTGGGGAGGGAAAGGAGATTTTGCAGTATCCTTCTCCTGGAGTGGGGAGGGAATGGAGATTTTGCAGTATCCTTCTCCTGGAGTGGGGAGGGAATGGAGATTTTGCAGTATCCTTCCCCTGCCACGCCCACCAAGCTACGCCCACAGAACCGATAGTAAAAAAAAAAGAATTTCACCAATGAACTATCTCCCACCCTCAAGTGACCTTTCATTGACTGTCCCAACATGTACAGAGAAGACAAGCACACCATGTTTTGTTTTGCATGAGATTACAAAGAGCAAAGATCTTCTTGCGTGTCCAAAGCATCGATATTCCAAATGCATCTATTAACCTGATGCATAAACTAGCCAGCAGAGTAGGTTTTAGGGATCCCTTGTTAGGCTAAACTCACAAAATTTTAGGAGGGATGAAGTTATTCTTCCCATTAGTAATCTACAGGTGTTCCTTCAATTGTTTCCAGGCAAAGAGGTCTTCTCCTTCTGCAGCACCCTTGCTTTGAGAGGGCATCCTTTGAAAAGGTTCATGCTTTGTTGAAGTGGACAATTGAATTACCCATCAGGAGCTGGCAAGTTATCCAAGACAATGGATAATTAGCCAGGATATTAAATCATCAGATTGTCAGGGTGAGAGAGGCTAAATGTGGCTAGCAAAGCTATTAGGCAGATCGAGGCAGGGATGCTAATGAGTATTGACGGAGCAGCTGGATTTGAGGGAAGAGCATGACGCTCAAAATGTCAAGGCTGAACAAGATGAAACATGTTCCCGGAGACGGCAGCCAATGAATTAGCGGTCTGGGATTCCATAATAACCTACTGCCATCTTGTTTCAAGGGGTCAGCTTTTATCCCATCACCCTTGAGACGTCACACTGCACAAAAATTTTCAGGTAACCGATCTGAATCTGAATATATAAATATTGGTAGCTCAAGGTTGAAATGAGGGGTCTGTGGTTCTCTCTGAGCTTCGTTTTTTTCTTGCAGACATTCCATTACCCAACTATGTAACCTAATCAGAACTAGAAGGGAGAGGGGTTTGTGGAGAGGAGGAGAAGTGGTCCTTGGTGCTCTTTGAGCTTGATTCTTTGCTGGCAGATGTTTCATTACCTGGTTAGGTAACAGCATCATTAGAATGAAGGAGGGTTGTGGAGACAAGGAGGAGGAGGAGGATGACGACTGGGGTTTTTTTATGCTTGTTAGGTAAGCTCCCCGTTGGGAGAGCAAGTACGTTCAGAGAAGCGTTGTGAGAGTTGTGTTGGAGAACACACAAACCAGCATACAGAGACACTGCTGGCTAGTTTATGCATCAGGTTAATAGATGC